ATGTCAGCACTTTTTCGTTTCATTTCCAGGTAAAGTTTTTCAGCGCAAACGAACAAACGAAATGATGACATGCGCACATTATTGTTCAATGCACCCACGATGCAAATCGTTGAATTTCAAACAATCAAAYCGACAAGAGAGAGGACTCTGTGAACTGATACGRATATCYGCTGACCAAGAAAAACAACTGCATTCACCAGGGTGGCAATCTGGTCAGATCATCGAGCAAATTAGCCCTACATCACCGCCTGCGATCCCTCCGCTGAAAMACAGTATGTAAATCATGCATGCATTATTTTCACTTGAATAAGTTATATTCCTTTGTCTCCAAAACCCATTTACATCAAAAAGGTAAAGCGTAGTCCTGTGAACACAGTGTCCATGYCTATTCGATTTCTTTTTCAGAAAATGTTTCTGCAACMTTTACCACTCTAGACGGAGAACTTTACACGGGACCRACGARCACCGATGGCTACAAGGGGACCCCATTGGCAGGAAAAGTCACTCTGCAAAATGGCATTCAGATCTGGAAAGTGCCTTACACTGGCTTGTATAGCATCGAGGCTCTTGGGGCATCTGGCGCTAATGGAACCAACTCTTCAGTTGGGGTGGGGTGGAGGCTAGGAGGACGCGGAGCAAGAATGAAAGGACATTTTCAACTAGAAGCCGATACGCAACTGAAGATTCTCGTTGGACAAGAAGGAGGAATAGTGACAAATATCATGAAACAACGTCCAGGAGGAGGGGGTGGGGGGTCGTTTGTTACCACTAAAGGAAACAAAATATTGGTGATTGCAGGAGGAGGRGGTGGGGGTGCWGCAATATTTCCACGTGGCGACTGTCGAGACGGCGATCCAGGCCAATCTGCGGAGAATGGCACGCGTCACGGAGGGACGGGAGGTAACGGTGGAAAWCGATATGATTACAATTCCGGCGTTAAACCTAGTAACATGGAGGGGTCCGGTGGGGGAGGGTTTTTCACAGATGGCTCATCAGGAATTATTTCTCAAGGAGGAAAAAGCTTTCTCAATGGGGGGACGGGTGGGTCTAGTCTCGCTGCTGCCGCACATGGGGGATTTGGAGGTGGCGGATCTGGTACTTCTTATCCAGGGGGTGGAGGAGGGTATTCCGGTGGAGGTGYGGAAGGCAATGGTTCGCTCTTTGCCGCAGCTGGTGGAGGTGGATCGTACAATTCKGGAACGGAGCAAGAAAATGAAAAGGGAGTAAATTTGGGAAATGGGAAAGTAGTGATTCGCTTTATTAAATGATCGATTATACTGACAAAATGGAGATTTATGGTTTCCGTCACAACGTAAAGACTGTGTAAATAATGCATCTGATGTCAGACTGTTTGTAATTAGCTGTCGGTTCAGATAAAGATAAATGTCACCTGTTTTTGGAGAAATGCTCACCGAATCATCCTAGTGGTACGTTATCGAAGTAACATTAAACCTAGCGCGTAAAASAAATTACCCCCAATGTKAGTCGTTGGTGTGTTTACATAGAATAGRCCGAGTAGATTTTTAGTAACGGAAATCGCGCAGCCGCCAGTTCAGACTTTTATTTTAGGTCTCTGCGGATAACTGGATCAGKTTTGAGAAGGAAACACCAATCTAGGGTAAGAGTCTYSATTGATTTTGATTAACTGAAAAACGAACYAGAAATCATGTCARAWATCATGTCTTCTTGAAGAAGGAGAAAAGTTCAAAGTTAAAAAGGAACCAGAGACAGACTAATGAATCTGTTAAAGATCATGATTTTTCTAATGMAAAAGAAAGAAATCAAGCGTCTTTATTCACAAAGTTACACTCTTCACTAGTTTAACTTTGGACAGGGRGAGGTGGGATTGGTAATAATACATCATAAAACCACTTGAGAACTCTTACAGAATTCGCCTAGTTACCCTAAAGGCATAGGATGATTTAGGGTGTAATATAAGAAATGTTAAAAAAAGAACCATTTTTTATCGCCCAACACTTATTCAGTGATGCCTAGTAATGGCCGTCACTAAGCAACGATGAAAAACCATYACTAAAAATGTGTCTGATTGATGTGCAAGTATAAAAAGCTAATTGATCTTGCAAAAATAGATCCCACTTGATATCAATTTATCACAGTTTAAGAAATGTTAAAGACTGAAATAGATATAAACTTCTTAAATCATAACATTACTCTAAGGGTAGTTATACACCTGGATAMAGAAGTCGAAAAAACTGCCTGAAAAGGATTAAAAATGAAATATATGATGAATTTTATATAAAACGTTTTTATCTAAACAGATTTTTTTTAGAAAAAGAAATGAAGTTTTAGTAACATACCGCATTACTTTAATTATTTCAATTTWASTCCTTTATTGGTAAATGCCGCAGTGTATTCTCATTGGCTTAGCTTTTGCGTGACGTGTTATTACCCGGTGATAACATTTCCTTAAAATTATTGCATGTTCAGATCCTTCGGCAGATTTGAAGATYTAATCTTTGCATCTCTGTATTCAAGAAAATCGCGCCCATTCGGCGCTTTTAAAGTAAGGAGTTTTAAAACAAATAATCCAACATTTGTTTTATTAAAAAGAAAATTAAAAGAACATTTGAAATCTTGTGGAAGTGATTGCACGTTTTTCATTACTTTCTAAATCAAAAGGAAATAATAATGATGATCAAATTGTTCGTGATATTGAAAGTGATAAGATAACCAAGCAACAATTATAAAAATCACGATAAACTSAAGATGATAATATTTTCATGTATTCGTTTTCCCTTTCAGCTGGTTTAAATAGAGAGCCATCGAACAATGTATCAAGGGCTCTATTTACTTCTGACTGGACTATATTTTCTATTTACCGACACGAATACTGAGGACACGACGACAGGCCGATCATCAAACGTAAAAATCACGAATAATGCTCGAATACCAGGTTTCATCTTGTCTACAAAGCRGTCATTCAACATCCTCGCATGCGCACACGTTTGCCTTTCACATGCAAAGTGCGCGTCGTTTAATTTCCATAAAAGGCCTGAGGAGAGTGGGAATTGTGAGCTTAATACCGATGGATTTCTTTATAAAAACATTAAGCCTCAATATCATGCTGGCTGGACATACGGATTTATTACAGGACGAAGTTATGGTGAGTATGATTTTACAGAAAAGACGTTTCCAGTATGTGTAGCTTCAGTGTGACAACAACACCCGGCATATTTATCCACAAACAAAACATATAGACCACAATGCAATGCATGAAGCTATTTTAAAAACGGCTACGCACTAGATCACCGGAAAACAAGTCTTCCGTCGGATAGCAGTTTTTCAATCCGCACGGAGTTTCGAAGAAAACAAGAAAGATGACAAAAACAAACATTTCATTGGTAGAAACATACATTAAACACTACAGTTCAAATAGACTATTGTTCACCATTCACCACGTTCTAATACTGTACTTCCTGCTTTTTGTTCTTTTCCCTTTTGCAATGATAGACATAAAAAAATCTCCAAGTTAGCATGATTCATTCGAATCTCACATGACATAATTGACAGAACGATTTACAATTCCACTCCACATTTATGCACGGGAAACACACGGCAAACAAAGTGAAGTGATACATTTCCGTGTTTACTTCCAGTTGCCTACTTGACATGGACATTGCCAGTCTTAAACTGATTCCTAGATAACCCAAGGGAAAAATTACCTTGATTGCAGGATATTAGTTTTTTTCCTTCGTGGGAACAACTTTGTTCGAGTTTTTTTTAATCGCTCGCTTCAGATTTTACGGCTGTCATTTTACGTTCGCTATTTGCGCCCTAATTTTTCCCCAAGATATATTGTTCTTTTCATAATTCATTAGAAACCTGGCGCAGAGCAAAGGAAACAAAGGCAAAAAATAATCAATGTAATCTTCAGCATATTTAGCATTTGAAAAACTCATGGCTTTTTATGAAATAAAAATGAAATAAAAAGAAGCCCAAATATAGGCAAATAATAGGCATGACTACAGAATTTCCAGGGTTAACACGAGTAAACATTTGTGCAAATATCTGAAATGTGCGGATGTTTGACGACTTATTTCAAGTGGCCTTTTGTTCCTTTAATGTTTGCAGCTATGAAAAGAGCACAAATACTGCACTATTTTTAAARCGACTGACGTTTTGCAGTTTAGTCTCTTTGTTATTCAGAAGTCAAACTTCTCTAAATTTAGAGCGTTTAATGTCCAAAATGGCGGACATAACTCAAATACTTTTTAACTGAAGTAAAAATGAAACAAGAGAAAAACACCATCTACACGGGGCTTAAACACACGGTTTTTGTTGTCTGGGTACGGCTATACGAAATCTTCTCTGATTAGCCATTTGCGATCTTCAACACTGAACCCAGTTAGACAATTTGCTTTAGCATGAAAATCTAGAMGTTGAAGTTATTTACTTCAATTATAGCGTTGCACGAGATCAAATGATTTTGTCTCAGTCTACCTAAACAAGCAAAGCCGCAATTCCAAGGTCAGCCGTTGATGTAAAATTCTATGTTTCTTTTAGCGTTCAACGTAACCTTTACCACTTTGAATGGTGTTGGCGCTAAGGGACCAACAAACACTTCACGGTACACAGGGACATTATTACAAGACTTAATACAGCTACAAAACGGTATCCAAATATGGAGAGTACCAATCAGGGGCACCTACACGATAGTTGCTCTAGGTGCATCTGGCGGTAATGGCACGAATGGCACAGGTTCTAGGTACTGGCGACTTGGAGGAAGAGGAGCAAGAATACAAGGGGACTTTYATCTTTTAGAGGGTACCATATTGAAGGTCCTAGTAGGACAAARTGGATTTTGTGCCCCTTATGGTTCACGCAGACCAGGGGGTGGWGGAGGAGGGAGTTTTGTGACGTTACAAGATAATAYGCCGTTGATAATTGCTGGCGGAGGGGGAGGKGGTGCGGCGCCATGGATCGGCTTCCACCATGGTGACAACGCTGAAATCATTARAAATGGTTCTACGTAYGGGGGTAGCTACGGYACCGGGGGAACACTCTACGATGTGCCTTATAGAACATTTCACAGGCGTTACCAGGCAGCCGCTGGAGGAGGGCTATTGACTAATGGTGCATCCGGGAACTACACYTCAGGAGGACGTGCATTTATCAATGGTGGCGAGGGAGGGATGGGAAGGGACTTTGCACAAGGAGGATTTGGAGGTGGCGGTGGTGCATCTTTGTACCCTGGGGGAGGSGGAGGTTACTCAGGTGGTGGTATTGTTAGGGCAACGCGGTATACAAAAGCTGGAGGCGGCGGATCGTTTAATGGTGGGATAARAAAGAAGAATTCTACAAGATTACGGCGAGGACCAGGGATCATTAAAATACGACTTATCAAATCTGATGTCGACATGATGTGATGTGACTTGGTACTGCTATATACATATTGCGCAATCACAGTGACGTCACACCTGAGTGGAATTCACGACCGTACAACATCTATGRATGCTTTATCTTAAAACAATGTGTAGGCATATTGCATCTCTAAAACATCAATGGTACAGGATGCCTAGCAGTCAGACG